TATATATATATATATATATATATATTCCTTTTTAGATGAATTTTCTTTGTCATGATTGATCATATTAAATGGATATTAAGACATTTCTTCCGCTTCTTATATTGCCAACCACCAGGAAACTTATAATTACGAAGTCAAAAGGTTAACATTCTAAGAAAAAGTATTTTTTAAACCATATATTGGACTTTGATATATAATTGAAAGGAAGATCAAATAATGTTTTATGAAGTATTTTGGACAACTTACATGTTTCCAATTGAACAAGTCATGGGAGAAATATTGATTATAAGTGTGGTGCACAACATATATATAAGCAAGATTTTACTAGATTTTAAGCGTTTTTTTGAGTATGTTAGTTTACTAACTTATTTGTCCGACTCTATTGGCTAACCCGAGTCCCTCAATGTTATTCTTTTTTATAAATAGTTAGTCCACAATACTTGTCATTTCATAAAATCAATGCATAAATTACCATATTGTTCCTTTTTTACCCTTGTGAATTATTAGCCTTGAAAATATACATTTGACCAACTTAGAAAAACTAAGTAAATAATTCATGTTCATTGGTTAAATTAATTAATCAAAAATAAATTAATTCATATTAATTGATTGAAAACTTGAGTTCCAAAAAAATTAAATAAGGGTAGAAGGGTCATTTCTTAATGCAAGTGCAAACAGTGGCGGACCCAGGATTTTCGTTCAGAAGGTTCGAAAAATAAAAGTATAAACGTGTAATTAAGCCAACAATTTTTTTTTCAAGGAAGTAGTAGTATATAGTTTATAGGCACAAAAAGTTAGTTTCGTTACAAGAAATCCGAAACTAACATAAGTGATTACAGTGAAACAAAAAGTTAGCCCTTTAAAATATGTCAAATCAACAATAGAATATTATGGGAGATGATTTTAATATTTGAGTTTAGAGTGTTGAGGAAGAACAAGAAAGTGATTTAGGGATTTGGAAAGTGAAAAAGTTATTAGCTTTTAGGAATGGGAGTATGGGACCCTTGAATTTTTTGGGTTTAACACCACATTTTAGCACTTTTTATTTAAAAAAAACATGAAAATCGGAACTGGAACTAAAAAAAAAAAAAACTGAAAGTAAAAAACTAAAAAAAAAACCGCTAACCCAAGGATTCGATCCCTGGACGTCAGGCTTAATATTGAAGGGAGCTGCCGCTGGGCTATCTCCTTCACCTTGTCATTGAGGGGGTTCAAAATATATATATCCACATAAATCCAAAAAATTTACCTTATATATACAGTGTAATTTTTTATCGAGGGGGTTCGGGTGAACCCCCTGGACAATACGTGGGTCCGCCCCTGAGTGTAAAGTAAAAATGTGACATATAAAAGTACTTGCTATATTATCATTAATGACATTTCTTTTTTCAGTTTTTCGGTGTCACAAAATAGGAATTTAAGATTTTAAGGACTAGTGTAGATATTAGGAGACCAACTCTGCTTGTCCCCAAAGTTGGCTAGGCTCGGTTTGGTTACCAATACTCGTTGCATTTTTATTATTGGTGTCTCTTTTAGCGTTTCAGTGTCATGAAATAGAAATTTAAAATTTTAAGGGTTTTGATGTGTATTATTTATCCACTGATTTTCTTAAAATTAGTTAACTGACTCGGTTGGCCACCAAACTTATCCAAGCCGGTCCTCATAGTTTTTGTGATCAGTACTCATTGCATTTTCACTAACGAATGTTTTTCTTTCCAGCATTTTGATATCATGAAATAGGAATTTAAGATTCTAAACAATTTTCGTGTGTGTTAATCCATTGATTTTCTGTGTTGACTCCCAAACTTGGCAAAACCAGTCCTTAGAAGTCTGGTGACCGGTTCTCTTTGCATATTCATTAATATTGTGTCTTTTTTTTTTTCCCTATATATATCACGAAATAAGAATTCAAGATTTTAAGCATTTTTCATGTGTGTTAATTCACAAATTCGGCAAAAATTAGTCAACTGACTCCCTTGACCCCCAAACTTAGCCAAGCCAGGACTCATAGGTTGTCCCGAATTTTAAAAAAGACACCTTAACTTTGCAAGTGTTCTCTTAATGTATACATATATGTGTGATTATCATTGACAATAGGAAGTGAATCTTCATACTATTTGTGGGATGAACAAGAACAAGCATTGCTAAATGATTCATGAGAACTACACCTTCTTGACTTTTCTAAATTGGCAGTTGCAACTGATAACGTCAATGGAGCAGGAGGATTTGGCCCAGTTTACAAGGTAATGCCAGTCTCTGAAGTGATTCACACACAGAAAATAACGCTGCTAATGCGAAAACTCTTGCTATGATACAGGGAAAACTAGAAGATGGACAAGTGATAGCTGTCAAACGATTATATGGACAAGGAATTGCAGAGTTCAAGAATGAACTCTTGCTGATCTCCAAAGGAATCTCGTCAGAATCTTGGCCTATTGCGTTCATGGGAAAGAGAAGTTACTGGTTTATGAGTACATGGCTAACAGACACTTTGTTATTCGGTAAGTGGTTCCAACTATAGTCTCTGCAATGGCGTATTGCTTGATCAACACAATTCACTTTAAGTAACATTTAATACTTAAAAACCAATGTGTATATATATTATGCTGAGAAGCTTCATTGTTTTCTTCGATTGTATAACTATCTTTGATGTGCTGTTAGATCCAAAAAAAAGTCATCAGCTTCCTTGGCCAAAACATGATTTCTACATGATGATTCATGGCATTGCTAGAGGGCTTCTTTACCTTCACAGTGATTCTTGTTTAAGGGTCATTCACAGGGATCTGAAGGCAAGCAATGTTCTCTTGGATGGTGATATGAATCCGAAAATCTCAGATTTTGGCTTGGCCAGAACCTTTCAAGTGACTCAAGAGCTAGCAAACACTCATCGGATAGTGGGAACATTGTAAATACCTCTACTTTTGCAAGCAAAATATTTTCTTTGATTTCAAAGTAGCAAGTCTGACTCATTCTTATACAAATACGTTGCAGCGGCTACATGTCGCCTGAGTATGCAATGGGTGGACTGTTCTCTGAGAAATCTGATGTCTACAGCTTCGGCGTGTTGCTACTGGAGATTGTCAGTGGTTGGAAAAACAGCGGATTTTATGACAATGATAGGCATTTCAATCTTCTGAGTTATGTAAGTGCAAAATCATTATGCAAGGGTATCCACTTATTTTTTTACATTTTTAATTTTAAAACAATCTTAGGCATGGAAGCTATGGACTAAAAGCGAAGGACTAGACTTGATGGATAAATCAATATCGGATTCACGTTCCTCTGCAACAGTGTTGAAATGCATACATATTGGCCTTCTCTGTGTCCAGGACCATGCAGTGGATAGGCCATTAATGTCATCTGTAGTTCTTATGCTAAGTAGTGAGATGGATCTGCCTCAACCAAAGCAACCTAAATTTATATTTAAAAGGTGGTTGAATTATGATGCCCAATCACAAAGCAGTAAATAGAGAAGTGTTGATGATACGACATGTGTTGAGCTTAAATAGAGAAATGAAGATTCATATGATTCATATAGCTGACCGCAACTTGTTTGGGATTGAGGCGTAGTTGTTGTTTTACTGTTATATCTGGTAAAGTTAAAAGCAGTGGTAAACTCTTCAACTCTATGTTCTGCCTGATCTTGGTTTCTTGTTTCACAACGCTCCTTCCCGGGTCTTATATTTTACTTAAACAAAGGTAAACTTTTCCTCACATCAAAGTTTCCAAGCAAATATGATGGTGTACACTGCAATCAACCTAAATTTTTAGTCAAATCTCCTTGAAAAGATATGGGTTGGAAGAACATTTGAGGCTCCAAGTAATACCTTGAAGGATTAAATGGAGTGATCAGCAATGACAACACAATGATGTGCTTTCTACTTTGTGACTGGATGAGTAGATAAACAAATTGGTTGACTTTGATATTTAAATACAACTATGCTTTTCTAATTGAGACACATACTAGATGTGTGCTTATTTAGTTCAGAATTATCCTACCTGGATAGTTTTTAATCTCCTAATTTACGCTTTGAAAGCGAACTTATTGGTTACTGTAACATGTTGTGTTGTTTTGGTGTTTACTCTGAAAAGGAAAAGTACTTTCCATTTATCTACAAATAATATAGTAGAGAGTGAAGTCTAGGAAAATGTCCTTTTCATTGATGTATCTTAAATAGACAATAACGAAGTAAACAATCGATGGGAGGTTCTGTGACAGCTGAAACAACGACAATGTCAAAAAACTAGTTGGTATACTGTTAAACAGAAATACTAAACTATTTCCCACAATAGAATTTGTCAAAGTATTCATCCTCCTGAATAAAAATAAAGGGAGTGAAATCCCAAAAGGGTTGTTCAGAGGGATACTTTTGGAAAGTTTTAATTGTTTGAATTTCTAGAGTAGCTCAGGCTGGGAATGAACAAAAATGGAAAGAAAATGGCATGGCCAAGATGGGGATTTTTTCTGTTTCTGATGCTCAGAAGGATGTTTTTAGCGCAAGTCTCTGCTGCAAGTGATATCTTAACTCAATCCCAACAACTGTCACTAAATCAGACACTTGTCTCTGCTGGAAAAATATTTGAGCTGGGCTTCTTCAGTCCACGTAGCTCGAGGAGTCTATATCTCGGAATTTGGTTCAAGAATATTCCTCGTCAGAGGATTGTATGGGTAGCAAATAGAGAAAACCCACTCCCAGCTTCTGACTCAGCTGCAATCTTGAAGATTGGAGGTGATGGGAACCTCATAATTATGGATGGCAATCAAAATATCATTTGGTCAACAAATATCTCTGTTCAGTCTAATAAGACAACTGCTGTACTTACAGACAAAGGGGAATTCATTCTTAAAGACAATGTCACGGGATCATTTTTATGGGATAGTTTTAACTATCCTTGTGATACTTTGTTATCAGGAATGAATATTGGATACAACACCAGTTCTGGGGTAAAACTTGTTTTATCGTCCTGGCAGGCTGAAAATGATCCATCTCCTGGAAAGTTTACTGCTGGACTATCGGTGGAGATGCCACTTCAAGGCTTCACTTGGACTAATTACTCGAAGCCTTACTGGAGAGGTGGACCATGGGACGGAGCGAACTTCATAGGCATACCTGCTGTTGACAAGGGGTATGCAAGTAATATAAATGTAATAGTAAACAAGTAACAGGAATCTGCCTTTCTCAGTTTCAATGATTTCAACGATTCTGATGTTATAATCATGGTCCTAAAACCATCAGGACTATTGCAGACGATTGTATGGGTAGAAGAACTGAATGCATGGCAAGTCACGTGGGAGGCACCAGGTAATCCATGTGATGTTTATGGAACTTGTGGTCCTTACAGTGTTTGTGACATGGGTAAGTCTCCATTCTGTGATTGCTTGAGAGGATTTGTACCAACGTCAACTGATGAATGGATCAGAGGAAATTGGACTGGTGGCTGTGTGAGGCGAACTAAACTTCTATGTGAAATCAGTACAAGTGGCAATGCTACAAAGGGATCCGAAAGTGACAACTTCTTGCAGCTGACAGAGATGAAACTGCCAGATCACTACACATATTTTTATGTCTATGATGCTCAGAGCTGCAAAGAGTGGTGCCTGAATAACTTACGAGATGCTATTTTTCCAGGGAGTCCGACTCTTCAATCGAAAAAAAAAGACGGTCGTGTGCGAGTCGGCTGGGAAAACACAAGCTTAACACGTCTTTCTTTATCTTTTTCATATCTGAATGTCTTTGTCGAGTTGGTTGGCATCATTCGCTCCTTTCTGTCTTTTCATTGTCCGCCTCCGCCCGAACAGATACGCACTAACCCACCTGAAATAAGGTAAAAGCCTTCTAACTGTTCCTGTGCAGCATATGCATATCCAGATAGAATTAACTGTATGGTTTGGACTTCAGAACTTGTTGATGTTCAGCAGTTTCCATATGATGGTGTGGATTTGTTTCTTCGTCTTGCTTATTCTGAACTAGGTAAATTCAATTCTCATCATTATGCTTAGAGGATTAAAAAATTGTTTTATGTTGTTACCTTTCTGCATTATAACAGATCATAGTTTAGATGAAGATAAAAGGAAGAAAAAACTTTTCATCGGCTTCACAACCGTTTCAAGCATTCTCATATTGGGCATCTTCGGATACATCTTCTGCAGGTGGAAAACAAATCAAATAGGTAAACTATGCTCTTGATATCAATATTTTATAGCCAACATATTAATTATGTACACTAGTTTTGTCGAGCTTCACCATAATATTCTTTTGATTGGTATAACTGGAAATGCCTTTTTCCTTGCTTTTCTTCTATGAAGTGAGTTTGTATTTCAAAACATGGTGTGACTTGTTCACATCTCTCTCCATTCCTATCAAGTTTTCTGTTAAAATCATGTTAGGTTTCTGTATGTATCTTTGCGTGAAGTATTAATAATTCTTTTAATAAGTAATTCCAAAATGCAACATTTCTATCTGTACGATTCTTTAGTCTGATATATCTATTCAAATCGAAAATAGTATATGATTCAAGGATGAATTTCAAGTAATAAAGCTAGGAATTGGCAAGATCATGCAGTTTTACACAAGTAAAACATTCTGGATGTCTTCTTTGACATTACCAGTTTTCATTGTAAACTTTTATGTCTACTCATGTGGATCCGGAAAAAAAATCAGGAAATAGAAGAAATAGGATTGCGGACCACATTCCGGCTGATACGTGTCAGAATTCAAGCGAAATGTCTACAGACAATTTGTGGGAGGAGCAAGCATTGCCAAAAGATTCATCAGATCTACCACTTCTTGACTTTGCTAAACTGGCTATTGCAACTGATAACTTCAGTGAAGTAAATAAGATTGGAGCAGGAGGATTTGGTCCCGTTTACAAGGTAATACCAGTCTGCTGAGTGTTTACACACAAATAACTGCTGCTTATGTGAAAACTAAAGCCGTCATAACGGATATCATACAGGGAAAACTGGAAGATGGACAAGTGATAGCTATCAAAAGACTATCTAGTCACTCTGGACAAGGAATTGAAGAGTTCAAGAATGAAGTCTTGCTAATCTCCAAACTGCAGCACAGGAATCTCGTCAGAGTATTGGCCTATTGCGTTCACGGGAAAGAGAAGTTACTAGTTTATGAGTACATGGCTAACAAAAGCTTAGATACTTTGTTGTTTGGTAAGTGGTTCCAATTATAATTTCTGTTATGGCATATGGTTTGATCAGCATATTTTACTTCTTATCCTTGAATTTTTATAGTTAGTGATCCTTCATGTCATATTGTGGAAATGGAAATTATGACATGTTTCAGAACTATAAATTATTGTGCCTTTGGTTAGGAGCTTATGCGATTCTTCTCTAAGATATCGGACAAATACTTCAGAAAAAAGAAGCACAGTAAAGACACTGACCAGTGGCTTAGTGTTCCGAGAATTTGGTGTTTAACATTCTGGTTCCTTCAAAGGCGTGCATCACACAAACATAGTGTCATTTGCCATTTAACAATGGTAAATCTCTTTGTTCTTCAAGTATTTAACCATTTCCAATGCTATAAATGACATTGTCAGATTCAAAAAAGAGTCATCAGCTTCCCTGGACAAAACGTTTCAACATGATTCAAGGCATTGCTCGTGGCCTTCTTTACCTTCACCGTGATTCTTGTTTAAGGGTCATTCACAGAGATCTGAAGGCAAGCAATGTTCTCTTGGACGATGATATGAATCCAAAAATTTCAGATTTTGGATTGGCCAGAATTTTTCAAGTGACTCAAGAGCTAGCAAACACTAACAGGATAGCGGGAACATTGTAAATAGCTCTACAGCTCTACTTCTCATAACAGAATATTTTTTCTATGTTCCTGCATTTCTTTCGTCAAACAAGTTCATCATAATAGAAAATACCAACACGTTCTGCAGCGGTTATATGTCACCAGAGTATGCAATGGGAGGACTATTTTCTGAGAAATCTGATGTCTACAGCTTTGGCGTATTGCTACTAGAGATTGTCAGTGGAAAGAGAAACAGCGGATTTTATGACCACGAAAGGCATCTCAACCTTCTCAGTTATGTAAGTGCAAAATCAGCAGGATCTCTTGCCACAAGTTATTCACACAAACTTAGAGTATTCATTTCAAAATGATTTCAGGCGTGGAAGCTACGGACTGAAAGCAACGGATTAGACTTAATGGATAAATCAGTTTTGGACTCAGATTCCTCTGCAACAGTGCTGAGATGCTTACATATTGGCCTGCTTTGTGTCCAGGATCATGCTGCTGATAGGCCATCAATGCCGTCTATCGTTCTTATGCTAAGTAGTGAGATGGATCTTCCTCAACCAAAGCAACCTACATTTATATTTCAAAGATGGTTGAATTCTAATACCCAATCGCAAATCAGCAAAACTCAGTCTGTTAATGATATTACTGTCTCTGTTGCAGAAGGACGATAACCAATTGAAGATGTTGCATGTACCGTTTTAATATGTGTGCACAGCTTGTCTAAGCTACTATATCATCTGATCATTTCTTTGTTTACTTACTCTAAGTCTTTACTGCATTTAATAATAAAGGAAATTTCCTCCAGTACATGTTCTTGTGCAACAGGCTGCCAACTTGCAGAAGCCACTTGGGAAGATATGGCTATTGGCCAAACTCTACCATCAAAGACATCTTATGCGGGTAGGATTTCCCAATGTCATATAAGGAGACCACTAAACTATAGTGTGGATTACATCTTACCAGTTTCAAAAAAATTAATTATAGTGTGGATTACATAGGCCTAACATTGAAAAACACAATGACAGTGATTGAATTGTGAAGATATAGCTCTTGGGAATGTGGGACTTAAAATACTTGTAGCTTGTGAAGTTTTACATGTACTTAATTGCCATAGTTAGAGGAAGATTCCTTGTTAAATGACCATATTGGATCAGTTGTAAAATTTAGTTTTGTTATTGAAATCAAAGTTCAGTTTGAGTTCTTTCCTTGTCTGTAATCTGTGTTTTCTTCCTTGCCATAGTTTGATGTTTGTTTATATTGGCACACTCGGTACAGGTTATACTGTTCTTGGTCTAAGCTCTTATCTGAATATTATAAATGACTTTTTTTCTTCCTGGTTTCTATCACCAATTATTTTTTTCAAGTCTTCCTTTGAGTTTTTGTCTAAGTATACCCTTGAAAGAGACAGGTTGTACAAATTTGACAATTCAAGTAATCTCTTAAATTAGCTTTGCAAACATGATGACATGCCTTTGATGTTCAAGAGTTTCTGAATCATGGTGTGGATTTTTTTCTTCATCTTGCTTATTCTGAACTAGGTAAGTTCAGTTCTCGCTATTATGCTGAAATGATTAAAATTGTATTATGCTGCCACCTTTCTGTATTATAACATAACATAGTTCTGTAAACTATTCTCCTGATTTCCAGATTTCTATCGCTGACCATAGTAGTCATGCATACCGGTTTTCGGGCTCTACCATAAAATCCTTTTGATTGTTACAACTGGAAATGCATTTTCCTTTCTTTATGCTCTGCGAGCGAACTTATTGGTTACCTGTTACTGTAATATGTTGTGTTGGTTTGGTTCTTACTGTGAGAATGAGAAGTATTTACTTTTTATCTTATCAAAGCTACAATAGATTTAGATAATATATACTATAGAGTTTGAAGTCAAAGGGATAAAATGTCATTTTCTTTGATGGATCTTGAATAGACAATTATGTAGTAAACAATAAATGGGAGGTTCTGTGACAACTGAAACAAGGACAAAGTCAAAATACTTGGTTTATTTTTTAACAGAAATCTTAAACAATTTCCCACTATAGATTTGTCAAAGGATTCAGAGGGATGCTTGTAGAAAGCCTAATTGTTTGAATTTCTAGAGCATCTCAGGCCTGGAATGAACCAAAAAAGGAAAGAAAATGGCATGGCCAAGATGGGATTTTTTTCTGTTTCTGATGCTCGGAAGGATGCTTTTAACGCAAGTCTCTGCTGAAAGTGATACCTTAACACAATCCCAACAACTGTCACTAAATCAGACACTTGTCTCTGCTGGAAAAATATTTGAGCTGGGCTTCTTCAGTCCACGTAGCTCGAGGAGTCTATATCTTGGTATGTGGTTCAAGAATATTCCAGGTCAGAGGATTGTATGGGTAGCAAATAGAGAAGATCCACTCCAAGCTTCTGATTCTGGTGCAATCTTGAAGATTGGAGGTGATGGGAACCTCATAATTATGGATGGCAATCAAAATATCATTTGGTCAACAAATATCTCTGTTCAGTCTAATAAGACATCTTCTGTACTTACAGACAAAGGGGAATTCATTCTTAAAGACGATATCTCGGGATCATCTTTATGGGATAGTTTTAACTATCCTTGTGATACCTTGTTATCAGGAATGAATATTGGATACAACACCAGGTCTGGGGTAAAACTTGTTTTATCGTCCTGGCAGGCTGAAAATGATCCATCGCCTGGAAAGTTTACTAGTGGACTTTCGGTAGAAATGCCACCTCAAGTCTTCACTTGGAATAATTACTCGAGGCCTTACTGGAGAGGTGGCCCATGGGATGGAGGGAACTTCTTAGGCATACCTGATGACGAAAAGGGGTATGCAAGTGATATAAATGTAGTAGTAAACAAGCAACAGGAATCTGCCTTCTTCAGTTTCAATAATTTCAACGTTTCTGATATTATAATCATGGTCCTAGAACCATCAGGGCTATTGAATATGATGGAATGGCTAGAAGACCTGAATGCATGGCATGTCTTTTGGGAGGCACCAGCGAATCCATGTGATGTTTATGGAACTTGTGGTCCTTACAGTGTTTGTGACATGGGTAAGTCTCCAGTCTGTGATTGCATGAGAGGATTTGTACCAAAGTCAACTGATGAATGGATCAGAGGAAATTGGACTGGTGGCTGTGTGAGGCGAACTAAACTTCTATGTGAAATCAGTGCAAGTGGCAATGCTACAGAGGGGTCCGAAAGTGACAACTTCTTGCAGCTGAGAGAGATGAAACTGCCAGATCACTACACATATTTTTATGACTATGAGGCTCAGATCTGCAAGGAGTGGTGCCTCAATAACTGTTCCTGTGTAGCCTATGCATATCCAGATGGAATTAAGTGCATGGTTTGGACTTCAGAACTTATGGATGTTCAGCAGTTTCCATATGATGGTGTGGATTTGTTTCTTCGTCTTGCTTATTCTGAACTAGGTATTCAGTTCTTACCATTATGTTTAGAAGATTAAAGCTGATTTCTGTTGACCTTTCTTTTGGATTTGAATTGTGACATAACATTGCTTTAGATGAAGATACAAGGAACACTAAACTTATCATCGTTTGCACAACCGTTTCAAGCATTCTCATATTGGCCATTTTCGGATTCATTTTCTACCGGTGGAAAGCAAATCAAAGAGGTAAACTATATTCCTGATTTCAGAATTCTATCACAGACCATAGTAATTATGTAGATCAGTAGTCTCAAGCTTCACCATGAAATTAGTTATATTGGTATTAACTAAAACGTATTTTCCCTTTCTTTTCTTCTTTGATGTTGGTTTGTCATTTAACTTTGAAATCACGTGTTCCTAATGTTATAAACTCACTCAAAGGTGGATATTGTCCTTTTGTGTTAGAATCATTTCAAAAAAAGTGAAAATGTTTAGGCTGGCTTCTGTATAGTTTTTCAGACTTTCTGTCAAATCACTTATTTTAACCTTTCTATCTCTACAACTCTTTGATCTAACATATCTTCACAAATTGTTTGATCTCTATGATTCATGCACGAAACTCAGAATTAAAGCTTAAAATTCACAAGATCATGCACTTTTACTTGATTTGCACGTTCTGGATTTCTTCGGTGGCTTTGACCTTTTTTTTGTACCCTCCCCTAAGAGCTCTCCATTTTGCTCTCTTGGTGACGCAAATCCATAACTTCAAGGTTGGATGCGGTGCTTAACACTTGAGCAACCCTCTCTTATATCTGCGGCTTTGACTGGTTATTGTTTTGCTAACCGGAGACTTTTTCATCTTGATATTTTGGACTATATCAGTAAATAGAAGAAATAGGGTTAATGACCTCACTCCAGCTGTTAGGTCTCAGAATTCAGAGGATACATCTACAGACAATTTGTTGGAAGAGCAACAATTGCCAACTCTTCTCGACTTTGCTAAATTGGCAATTGCAACTGACAACTTTAGAGAAATGAATAAGATTGGAGCTGGAGGATTCGGTCCTGTTTATAAGGTAATTTCAGTCTCTGAAGTGATTCACAAACAAAAACTAACACTGCTAATGTGAAAACTATTGCAAATCATACAGGGAAAACTAGAAGATGGACAATTGGTAGCTGTCAAAAGATTATCTAGTCACTCTGGACAAGGAATTGAAGAGTTCAAGAATGAAATCTTGCTAATCACCAAACTGCAGCACAGGAATCTCGTCCGAGTATTGGCCTATTGCGTTCACGGGCAAGAGAAGTTACTAGTTTATGAGTATATGGCTAATGGAAGCTTAGATACTTTGTTGTTCGGTAAGTGGTTCCAATCATAGGTGTGCATCATACAAACATAGTGACATTAACAATGGTAAATGATACTGTCAGATTCAAAAAAGAGTTATCAGCTTCCCTGGATGAAACGTTTCAACATGATTCAAGGCATTGCTCGAGGGCTTCTTTACCTTCACCGTGATTCTTGTTTAAGAGTCATTCACCGAGATCTGAAGGCAAGCAATGTTCTCTTGGATGATGAAATGAATCCAAAAATTTCAGATTTTGGATTGGCTAGAACTTTTCAAGTAACTCAAGAGCTAGCAAACACTAACCGGATAGCAGGAACATTGTAAGTACCTCTACTCATTCTAACAAAATATTTTCAAAGTTCCTGCATTTTCTTTCGTCAAACAAGTTCATCATAATAGAAAATACCAACACGTTCTTGCAGCGGTTATATGTCACCAGAGTATGCAATGGGAGGACTATTTTCTGAGAAATCTGATGTCTACAGCTTTGGAGTATTGATACTAGAGATTGTCAGTGGAAAGAAAAACAACGGATTTTATGACCATGAAAATCATCTGAACCTTCTCAGTTATGTAAGTGCAAAATCAGCAGGATCTCTTGCCACTAGTTATTCACACAAACTTATAGTATAAATGATTTCAGGCATGGAAGCTACAGACCGAAAGCAAAGAATTAGACTTAATGGATAAATCAATTTCGGACTCAGATGCCTCTGCAACAGTGCTGAGATGCATACATATTGGCCTTCTTTGTGTCCAGGATCATGCTGTTGATAGGCCATCAATGCCGTCTGTTGTTCTTATGCTAAGTAGTGAGACAGATCTGCCTCTATCTAAGCAACCTACATTTATATTTCAAAGATGGTTGAATTCTGATACTCAATCGCAAATCAGTAAAGCTCAGTCTGTTAATGATATTACTGTCTCTGTGGCCGAAGGCCGATAATCAATTTAATGTTGCTGATCATGTGAAAACTGATGCAATAACTTTACTTACCGAATCTGTATAATAATGTGTACAGATAATAAAGCTGATTCTTAGTGTCTGAATATGTAGTTAGCTCATTCTCTTTATGGAATATATGAAACGACATTTTTTATGGTGCTTGATGAACCTCTTGTTTGGATTTGTTGTAACTCATTCTTTGTCTTGTTTGGTTTGATAATGAATTTCTGATGATTTTTGTCAGAAAATGAACCTTACAAAGTTACCATGTTTTGAATACCTAATCATTTTTCCAGAAGACTTTGGTCTTATTTGTTAAAAATGCCATAAAACAAGCATCAGACTCATTCATCATCTTTGTTAGAGTGAGTTTATAGTCCCACATTGGTTGGAGAATGGATTGACGGTCTGCCTATATGAATTTGGGCAATCTTAGCTTTAGGGGTTGAGTTCGGCCCAGGTATCATCTGAGGGGAGCCGAGCTAAAATGGGGTCGAATCGAGCTCTGCCCAGACCTACAAGTGCATAATTGAAGGAAAACTGGAGAAACATTGTTATTGCAATGTGAAAATATACAGTACTTACCAGGGGAGGGAGGATAGTTAATATTCCTTTGTCCCAATTTATGTGTCATCCTTTTTTTTTTTATCTGTCCCAAAAATAATGTCATACTTCCTTATTTAGAAACAATTTTACTTTAAAATTCCTATGACTTCGTTTTCGATCACATGTTTTACTACTCCCTCCGTCCCATATTATATGTCTCCCCTTTCTAAAAATAGCTGGACCACAATATATGTCATTTTATAAAATTTATGCATAAATTACCATTTTTTGCCCATTATACCCTTGATAGATTAATTAATTAATCTTGAAAATGTATTTGCTTTGACTAACCTAGGAAATCTACAAGTAATTAATTTTATTGGGAGAGTACTTCATTCATTAATTAACTACTTATTCTATATAATCTGATTTTAAAAAAAAATAACAACAAATAAATTAAAAATAAAAGATGAAAAAAATAATCTTGAAAGTTGAAGCTTCAACAAATTTTATCAAGGAAGATGACATTTCAAAAAGTTCAAAGGAAAATTTAAATCAATTTGAAGTAATGAAATTTGAATATTTTATGATGTCATGTTTGTTTTAAGAATTTATATATAAAAATATAAAAAAACATTTTACACAAAATATATAGGAAAATTGAGGTGGGAAAAACTTGATTTTTAATTTTTTTGGATCAATTGGTGAAAAATTTTGGCTCCAAAAATAAACTCTAAAATTTATATAGTCATCCAAATGCATTTATATTTTTGAAATCTAACATTTCATCATTTATTACAAAGTTATCATAAGTAAACATTAAATAAAAGCATAAAAGTAAAATTATCTTATTTCTTAATGCAAATACAAATAAAAAATGTGACATATAATATGGGACGAAGAAAGTAGTTTCTTTCTAAAACTCCGAACCAGTGACACATAAATGTTGGCAGCTAGTATGTCTCTTTCACTTAGTCCAGTGTAAAGTTGACTCACCAACTACTAATAAAAGTCTTTGCTGGATAACAAAGTTCATTCAATACCCTTTCTGAACACTAGCAGTTTCAAAATTTTCTCTTTACACAGTGTTTTAGCTTTCTCTAATTTCAATCTGATAAAGGTAACCATGGTTTGGTGGGAGGCAGTGTTATCTCCAGCTCTGCAGGTTCTTTTTGACAAATTAGCTTCAGGGGATATATTAAACATACTTAAAGTATGGAATGTTAATGAATTGTTACTTGACAAACTTAAGATTTCTTACTTCATCAATACAGCTGTTCTTGATGATGCAGAAGAGAAACAGTACCTCAATCCAGCAGTCGAAACTTGGATCGATATGCTCAGAGATGCTGTCTTTGAAGCTGAGGATACTCTTGATGAACTAGCTACTGAAGCCTTGAGATGCAAACTAGAGACAGATTCTCAGAAATTTTCTCAGCAGGTGCGTAATAGTTGGAACTTTATCAGTATGAAATCAAGAATAGAAGAGCTTATAACTAGACTAGAATATATTGCAAAACAAAAAGATGTTCTTGGTTTAGAAAGTAACAAAAAGTGTTGTTATGGAAAGATGTACAGAGGTACTCCAAGTACTCCTTTGTTACTTGGATCACATGTTTATGGAAGGTATACTGAAAAAGAGGAACTAATCGAGTTATTGGTTTCAGATTGTGATGATACAAATAGAGTTGCTCCATTTTGTGTTATTCCTCTTATTGGTATGGGAGGGATTGGGAAGACTACTCTTGCTCAGATTGTCTATAATGACAAGAGAATTTGTGAGGAGTTTGACGTAAAAGCGTGGGCTTGGGTGTCTGATGATTTCAGTGTAACAAGTATAACCAAGTCACTGCTTGAATCTGCTACTGCAAAACCCTTCGACACGAATAGTTTGGAAATTATTCAGAATGGTCTGAAGAATATGTTCAGCAAAAAGAGAATTTTGATTGTTTTGGATGATGTATGGAGTGAGAGCTGTGATGACTGGAATGAGCTTTTAATCCCTTTCTTCGAGGGAGATAAAAGAAGTAAAATAATCGTGACAACACGAAATGAAGGAGTTGCATCAATCACTGGAATGCTTGCACCTTACCGTTTGCAGGAAATGTCACATGATGATTGTTGGTCTTTGTTCTTGCATCATGCTTTTGGTGTTCGAGGCATGGACATGAATCCGAGACTGAAAGAAATTGGAGAAGAGATCGTGAAGAGGTGTAAAGGCTTGCCTTTAGCTATCAAGACTCTAGGAGGTATGTTGTCTTTGAAATTGGACATTACTTATTGGACTGAAGTCTTGAATAGCAATTTATGGGATTTGCCTTCCAAGAAATATTCTGTTCTACCATCTTTAAGATTGAGCTACCATCATCTTCCGCCAAATTTAAGGAGATGCTTTGCATACTGTTCAATATTCCCGAAAGGGTATGAGTTCAACAAGAAAGATCTAGTCTTGCTGTGGATGGCAGAAGGGTTCGTGCAGCCAATGGCGCAGATAACTATGGAGGAAGTGGGAAATGGAAATTTTACTGAACTGCAATCTAGGTGTTTTTTCCAAGAATCCTCGCAAAATAGATCTCTCTTTGTGATGCATGATCTAGTACATGATTTGGCACTTAGTGTTTCCAGGAGAACATGTATTCAGCTGGAGGAAAATTGGAAATGCAGATTTTATGAGAATTGCGAGAAGGCTCGCTATTTCTCATGCATTCGTAGTAAATACGATGTCTTCAGAAAATTTGAAATGCTTAGTGAAATGAAGCGTTTACGCACATTCTTACCTTTAGCATCATCAGAAGGAGCTGAATTTTGCTATTTAACAAAGAAGGTACTGTCTGATATTTTGCCTAAGCTAAGCTGCCTTCGGGTGTTATCTCTGAGCTATTATTGTGTCACTGAGATTCCGGAATCCATTGGATTCTTGAAACATCTTCGCTTCCTCAATTTTTCCTACACAGAAATTAAATACCTTCCTCAGTCAATCAGTGATCTTTACAATCTACAAACGTTGCTACTATGCAACTGTTATTATCTCATTGAGTTGCCTGCTGACATGGGGAAACTGCTCAATCTTCGCTACCTTGATGTTAGCGGAAGTGGTTTACAAAAGATCTCGCTTGGTCTGGACAAATTGGTGTGCCTCAGGACATTACCAGAGTTTGTTGTGGGTAGTAATGTTTCTAGTAATAGGACATTACCAGAGTTCACAGTAGATACTAATACCGGTGGTACATTCGATCAAAAAAGTAAAGGTTCTGGTATAGGTGCATTGGGTAACTTGTTGCACCTTGAGGGTTCACTTTCAATACTGAATTTGGAAAATGTGGATAACATTTGGGATGCGCACGGAGCTAGTTTGATCACTAAGAAGCACCTTCGCGAGTTATTGCTTCAATGGAGTGATAGTTTTGAGGACCCAGAGAAGGCTAGAATGGAAACTGATGTTCTTGAGCTGTTAAGACCCCATCAAAATATAGAGAAGGTTACCATCAAGGGATATAGTGGTACAAAACTCCCTACTTGGACAGCGAATCCTTCATTCCACAAGCTGGTTTCTTTGAGTTTAATCAATTGCAAAGGCTGTCGATTCCTACCATCACTTGGTCAGCTTCCTTCACTCAAAAATCTCATGGTTAAAGGACTAAGTAAGATAAAAAGCATCGGTGATGAGTTTTTCGGCTATACTTCAACCATATTGACCCCTTTTGCATCTTTAGAGACTCTATCCTTTACGGATATGTTGGAATGGGAAGATTGGTTACTTGGTTATGATGGAGATAGAAAAGCATTCTGTAATCTCTTGGAGCTTCACTTGGAGGAGTGTCCTAAACTGCGGGGAGAATTACCTGACGTCCTTCCTTGCCTAGTAAAGCTTGTGATTTGTGAGTGTAAGCAGTTGGATTCTTCTCTTCCGCGACTTCCACAGCTAAATGAGTTGGAACTAAGGAGTTGTCATGTTAGGTTGATTAGCAGCATGCATGAGGTGACAAAACTCACTTCATTACAACTGTCTAATCTTTCAAATGAATATGTACCTGAATGTTTCCTAGCATCTCTTCGGCATCTGGTAATTAGGCATTGTGACTTACTGGTGTCCCTTTTCGAGGAAGGGCAGAATCTGCCTCGCAGATTGGAGTATGTAGAACTGGAGAACTGTCATAATCTGCAGAAGTTACCATCGTTACTTCATACTTTAACATCCCTTGAAGTAGTTATAATCACAAATTGTCCAAGGCTGGAATCTTTTGCAAGGAAGATATTTCCTTCTAACTTAAAAGCCCTTGCCATTCAAGGATGCAGTTTGGAGTCTTTACCTGAAGCTATGATGAACAGTATCTCATCTCTCAAGTATTTGTCCATCAACGGGTGTTTAATGCTAGCTTCTTTTCCAAGAGGTAGTGAGTTGCTTCCAACCACATGTCAGCAGCTGAAAATCGAGAAATGCCCGAATCTGGAGTTTCTGCCTGAAGGGATGATGCACATCAGCAATACCTCTCTCCAAGTATTGGAGATTTTCGATTGTTCTTCTATATCATCGTTCCCGGGAGGCCAACTGCCAGACACTTTGAAAACACTCACAGTTTGGAACTGCTTCAATCTCGAGGCATTACCTGATATCAGAAC